TAAAGTTCGCTTAATCAGCATAGTGTGTGTGTGTGCGCGCGCGTGCGTGCGCGTGCATGTGTGTGTGCGTGCGTGTGCGTGCGTGCGTGTGCGTGCGTGCGTGCGCGTTCAGATTTCCCAATGTGACCACTATCAAAAGAAGAAGGCTTGCTTAAAGGAGAAAATGCAGTACAAACCCATACAGGTAAATAATCTCATTAAATTGAACATGCTGCTTAACATGGAAGTAGTAGTTTATGTAATGCTTTCGTTTGCATTTAAGGTGTCAGAGCCCTTTGAACTCGTGGGGATGGACCATGTCGGTCCATTGAAACGCTCAAACAGCGGATACATGTACATTTGCGTCATGGTGGACTATTTCACTAAATGGTTGGAAGTGTATCCTCGTACGGTGCACCAAAACGGATCCTAACTGACCGGGGAAAAGAATTTGTCAACAAAGTAAGTAGAATAGTGAGACATGTAATAACTGTTACTTTACACTGCAACAACAAAACAATACATCAAAATTGTGTTCTTCTTTTTAATATCCAATGCATATTCTAGACTAACCAGGGATTGTGTGAAAAGCTTGGCATTGCCAGAAGCCTCTGCGCACCATACCACCCCCAAACAAATGGCTTGGTGGAAAAACTTAATGGCACGATTGAAGGGTGAAAATACACTTTTCTACATGTTTGTACTTATCCTCTCTTATCATGTGTATGTATGGAGAATGACAGTATGTTTTCCTATTTCAGGGCTTTGATAAAAATGGTGCATGACCACCAAAGTGATTGGGAAAATTTAATCAAACCCACTGTGTTTGGACTACGCACCAAAAAACAAATCACAACAAAGTATTCACCGTATTTCCTCATGTATGGAAGGGAGGCCCGTTACCCGTCTGAAATTCCAGTCATGTGTAAGGTATGAGATGGCATGTCCCTGCTGTTGGAGCTGCTTTGGCAACCATATCTATTTATTTGCTATTATGTGTACTTTATGTGTTTATTTATCTAAAACTATGTTACAGATCAGTGATGAAAAGGTCAACAATCTAATTGACAATGAGGATGTATGCAACAACACTTCCAACCTTGAAGTTGTGTACAATAAAGTGGAGGCCAATATTACAGCAGCACAAACAAGGGTGCGAAAAAGGAAATTGGCAAAGGGTGACGATGATAACTTTGTGGTGGGGGACAAAGTATTAAGGAAAAATATCTGCCAAGAACAAAGAAAGGGGGGGAAATTAGAAACGGATTTCTTTGGGCCCTTCACAATCAAACACATTGATGGGAAAAGTGCTGATCTCAATTCAACAACAGGAAAAACCATCTTAAAAATCAACATTGACCAGCTCAAGAAGTATGTGGAACCCGAGCCACGAATCCCAGCGAAATGGATTGCCACGACTTCATCTGCCCCTTTAGCACTGGAATCCAACCCCTTGACATGTCCTAGCATTCCCCAATCCCCAACTTGCAAGCAATCAAGTCCACGATCAGACCCCCTGCCCTCCAGTCTCCAGTCAACTTCAGTCACCCCAGAGGAGTGTAAGTATATATCAATAACATTTTATTTGAGCAGAGGGTATGGTGGTCAGTGGGCATGATGTACCCTGTACAACATTCGGGACAAACACGAATCGTCGACATCTTGTGCTTATGCAACTTGCTATTTTCGAACTCACAGTGCCCACTCGAGCACTGAAGAAAAGAGGGAACATATCACACGGTCTCAGCCGGTTATATACCGGGGATGTGGACCGTGGGTGGGGCCCACCTCGTGGGTGGGCGTGGACTACAACTCTTTCAGTGCTGCGCAGGTGCGCGAACGATAAACCCAATAGCGATAGCCTTACTTATACGAAATAGAACAAAAAAGACTGGGGACAACTACAAAACATATCATGAAACACTGAAGACACAGAACTCAAGAATGTAAAAAAACACTAAAACATAGAGGAACACTAGGATAAGAAAAAAAAAGGGAGACACTAAAGACTAAACTAGGAAACAAACACTAGGGAAGAATGAGACCAAATAAAACTCTGATAATCTACATAATATAAAACCAAATCAGACCAAATCATGACATAAGCAAAGACAGCAAAGACTCTGGGGTGCTGGACTGAGAAGACAGAACATGGAGACAGGAGAAATGGTGGCCACTTCTTTTTCTCTGGCCACCAGGGCTACCAGAAGAATGGCCAAGCAAGTTCTGTTCAACTTCGAATACTTTATTGATGAAGAACAAGCTCAGAGGCATATGACTAGAAAGCAGGTGAAGAGTTAAAGACTCTAGTCCACTCAGGGAGTAAGTGTCTGAGCCACGGTCTTCAGATAATTTCCTTTTGCGCCGTGGACATGGCTGCCTCTCTGTTCTTGCTAGAGCAAGCATTTTTAAGTAATTTTTATGACGTGAGGTTATAAGTAACCTCACATAATTCAAAAGAAAATAATCCTTCTGCTGGGTCCATTGTTTGGTCAGTTTGTTCTGTCATGGATGGAAAACAACAAATAAAAGACAAAACCAAAACTTACTTTCTAAAGAAAGTCCATAGTCCAAAAAGTAATGTTCAACAAAAAGTCCAAACACAGTGAGAAACTAAAAGACACTGGAGCACAGAGATTTGGACCAGGAGATACAAAGAAGGGTTGACATATAAAGAGCTGACAACAAGAGGGAAGGAAACTGAGGGTGCGGTCGAATTGTCATTTTTGCTTAGGAAGATTCCTAACTGAGTGGGATGACCCGGAAGCATTGAAGTGGCGGCCATGATAAGAGCCGTCTGAATTCTCTAAAAGCAAAGGAAAGGTGGGTCAATGCTTCCTTTGTAACCTCCTTTAGCATAAGATACACTGGACCATCCTTTACCCAAGGAGATGAGATATACCGTGCCACAATTCCTTGCGGCCGCAACATTTAAAGCGAGCCGCACATCCGACCATTCACGGAAATGAACAATGACTTTAAAGGGGCTCAGATCATCAAAGGGACATTTTTGTCCAGATGATGTTTTATTCAACATATTTCATTCACTTCAGAATGTTTTGAGCAGTTGTACATTTTTATGCTTAAAACATTATGTATATCTTGCATTAATGTAACAATTAATTTCATACAATCATATTTATTTTGATGTTGATTTATGAGTGGACAGGAAGGTGGTGGTTTCACTTTTGTTACTCGTAGCCTGGTAGCCTATGGGCCTTTTATTTAAATTATTTTTGGTAATTAGGATTATTTCACCAGTAAGAAGGCACAGGGGAAAGTTTTTTAGATACACTTTCAGTAATCCATTTTCTGAACATTGTAGTTTCACCACGGCAGACCCACGTCATTAACCTCCGCCACCGTTAATAATAACATTGCCTAGTGGAAATGTGGTCGGATTGTCAGAACAATGCAATTGCCTTTCCCTAAGTCCTTTATGAATTCTCCTAACATCTCTCCTTAACCTCATGACGTTTTCCCCGGGGTTAAGGTAAAGTGGATAGGAGGGACAAGTCGACTGCATCCTTTGTAGGCACAGGGGTAATCAGACACAGGTGAAGACAATCAGGGCGATCAAAGTGGAGGGAAACCAGACAAAGGCTGTTTTAGAAACCGTGTACTACATACTACTATCTAAAGCAGTATGCAGTATATACTGTATACTGCATACTGATTTCAACAGTAGTATGTAGTATGACTGCCAGTCGTCGGTTATTTTGCAGTATGCTTGGCAGTGTTAAACTGGTTTCCGGTCCTGGAATGCGGAAGTAAAAAACAGCCCATCTGGAGGTAATTAACATAATTAAAATAAAATAAGTCTACAATCTCTCATATATTCTGTCATTTATACACAATGCCCTGGGTTGAAATATGATTGGCATGCTTTAAAGTTGTAGTATACTTTTCAGACATGCAGGTTTAACTTTTACTCAGCTGTGAATAATATGAAGAGCAAGCCAAGGACCCTGTAACTGCAGCTGCTTGTCCAGCTGTGGCACATGCACTGTATAGTCTACAAAGCAAGGCAATCTGAGGTGGTAAGACTTATAAATATATGAACATGTCATTTGTTTTTGGTTCATGCCCATAATGTGGCAAGATATTCAGTCACTGCCACAGATGAGTTCAAACAGCTGCGCTCCGGCATTTTGATCTCTGACCTGGCACTTTGCATTGTGGGAAACAGTACACGAGGTAGACTGGTCCAATGCATACTGTACATTTTTCCCGAATCAGTATGACATCCTGGTATTTTTGGCATACTGCGGATCTCGCAGTTGTTCGCATACTGCATTATGTATTTTGGCCAAATCAGTATGTACTAGTAGTATAGTATGCGGTTTCGAAAAACAGCCAAAGTGAGGAAGCAAGAAATACAAAATATCACAGGAAACATCAAAGACAAGACTAAGGAAATGCACACACAGTGAAAAGAGAAACAAAAGGATACAATTGGATAATAAAACAGTTATTTAAAGCTTAACACTAAAATAAACAACAACACAAAACTAAACCAGAACTCATGACAATTTCATTTCTATATTTTAAAATTAAGTACTAATTATTTACGACAGCTGTTTCCCTCTGCATTTCTGTACAGAATGTCAGATGTTAGTGATGCCATATTTTGTATCTCTTTTGTACATTTGTACATTTTCAAGAAATGTTTAATAAAGTACAATTTAAAAAAAAAAGGATGTCTCAATTCACGTTAGACTGTGGTGTTGGTCTGAGTGAGGTTGAAATAGATTCAGTATTCTGTTCCACCAAGTCAGTCAAATCTAAGCGTGATAATACGACCCTTTCAGGATACGCCATGCTCGCTGAGAGTTCATTGTGCTCTGGAAAGAGCGACGCAGATCGCCACCTGTGTATCACAGTGGGAGCAGTTTGTTTGAATTATGAGAAGTATTTAGCACGGCAGGTTTAGGATTAGGGTTATGGTTAAATAAATAAATGCTGGTATAACAAAATAAACACACTCAAGCAGACATGAAAATAACACAAATCCGCGTGAGTTGGAATGAAATGGAGGTTTATTTCGAATCTTACTGGGAGCATCGAGACAACATCAGTGTTCAGGCTGCAAATGAAAAGCAAAATGAAAATGAGTCACTTTTTTTTGTTTGTTTCTTCACACATGTATGGACTCTTTTTTTAAACCTGGGCTCCATTTTTCAGATGTTTTCTTCTGAAGGACTAATTGATAGAAGACATTACTCAGACTTTTTCCTACTAGCCCCCTAGTAACTTTACTGCTGGGTGAGCTGAACGCAGCAGGACATAATCAGAAAATTCACAGCCAGCGAGCAGGAGGGGGCGATGACATGTACATCCTGCAACCGGCACAGGACCATAGACTGTATGCATGTGTGAACAACCAACTCTGGAAGATTTTGGGATTCAACCTGTCTAAAATTTTCTAGAAATCCTTCAACTGCATGTGAAAACGACTAAAGATTAAGCTCCCTGGCATAAAAATCTAACAACTTAATGTTTGAAAATAAATCCACTCTCCCACACATTGTTACCTGCAACACAAGGGTAGATGTACTGAGTCTCAGCCTGGTCACCTGAGAGGAAAAAAGAAGAAGAAACCAATCAAAAGCAAAGACAAATTAATGAGCAAACTAAACACAGACATTTTGTCTTTGTTGTTGTTGCAATAAGAGATTGTGGAGGGAAGCACCTTGCAATTTTGGCTCATCTCTGCAATGTTTCGGCAAATTTGACTGAGCACCCTATTTCTCCTAATGCCTAAACAGCTCTGCATGTTAGAAGCTTACTTTTATTTTACTGAAGCAGACAGCTGTGCTATACTAGCGAGGCTCTGGCTACCTCTGGCTTTGAGATACCCAATCCCACCTCGAACAGAAGTGACTTTTAAGACTCCATTACAGATTTGAAGGTACTTTAAAGACAAAGGCTTTGGTGTTTAGCAGAACGATTCAGGGTTTGGGTGCAAAGTATGTCTATCTGGCTTACTTGGCTGGTAGTAGTCGTAGATCTTGACCACAGCTGGCTTCAGGTTCTGCACTGGGAGCTCCTGTATGAGCCTTAATTCATGATTGATGGGGATGTCTTTCTGCAACTACAAGGAAAAACAAACAGACAATGTTGTTAGAAACTAATCTGCAGAACATTAAGTATTATTATTTCTCACTTTGACTCCTCTCACCTCCTTAAAGTAAACCATAACATGATCTTTCTTTTCTTCCACACGATCCACCAGCTCGGCACGTTTGAGCTGTGAGGAGACAACAGCCGGCTGGATTATCATCACCATCATGATGACATCATCATCACTCTGGTCAACAATGAGGTATTAACTGACCTTCTTCAAAGACTCTGGGTCTGGGACAAATCCAGAGAGCATTTTGATATCCAGGATCACCATGTTTGTAGTGCCCTCCTCTCCACTGTATCTGTACACAGCAGTAAACTAGTTACTTAAAAAGAATATCCCTCACAGGGCCTTAACCTGAACTCCATGCACTGTTATTATAAGCTCCTTCACACAACAGTTATTGGGTAATAGCCTGATAACAAAGAGGTAACTAGATTGACATTTTCACATATTATAGGTTTTGTCAGATAATGCTTGTGCAAATGAAAATGAGTCAAAAAGACATTGTCTAATTCACACTAACACACAACAAGTCTTAAATCTTTCTCTAACTGTAAGTCTGTGCTGTTTGCATGTATTTGAATGATCCATTATGCAATTATTTGGAGGGAAAATTGGCACCAGTTTGTGTTTAAATTGAACTTACAAGCTCTTGAATTTCAGGGAAAGCCTGCGTCTGTTAGAGGCGCCGGCACAGTCAGCTTCTGGTTGGACGTCCACCATCAATGTGCTGACATCAATAGGAGTTGGGATGTTGTAGTGAAGAGAAATCTGGAAAACAAGTTCACAACAATCTTCAACTCTTCTCACCTGATTTTGACTGAAGTTTTGTCTTTGCAGCTTTTAAAAGCCAAATGTTTACTGATTTACACCGGACGCTGTTACTGTGAGACACTCATTTCAAATGTCAGAAAAGATGTTTTCCCTTTGACTTGTGACAAAAAACTCACATGCCTTTAAATGGATCAAATGTGAAATGTTGTAATGTAAGAACAATATGTACTCGTACTTTAGACTTTATTCATAAACGTGTGTGCTCTTAAATGTTTCACAAATGTAATGTCCATGAACAGTATTTTGCCTTAAATGTAAATTTACTCCCAAACAAAACAAGAATATAAGATGGTGAGTGACGCGGATTACAAGTTGTTTGAATAAGAACAAATCAAATGAAACTTTGGTACCATTAAATTAAGTAATACAATATAGAATCCTCTTGAGGGTCCAGGTAATCATGTGGAAACAAATTGTTCCTAATAACACAAATAGCACGTTTACTGACCTGCGCTGAAGCACACGCCGATCCCTTCACCTGCAGGCTGTACTTTCCGGCCCCGCCCATCAGCACCTGCTCCTGGTAGAGCAGCTTGTTGTCCTGGTTCACGTCAAAGAACAGCTGCATGCTGGGAGACTGGACAGCAACCGTGCTGGAACCTCTTGGACTGAACACCAGGGTGGAGTAGAGAGCCAAAGCCTGCAGAGCCACCACTGTGTCCTACAACACACACACACACACCAGATCAATAATATTTGTTATGAATGCATTATATTTACGGGAGGAAATGCAGACAGCACTTCTATAACGATGAAAGGATGTCTTTACCACTGGGAACACTTTACATCTCTGCTGAATCAACGCTGTAACATAATATATATTTTTAAAAGGCAGAAAAGAAGGTGAGCTTTTATTTTGAAACATTTCCCCGTGTTCATGGAGGAGTTAAAATTTGAAGTCTACAGTTGTACGGTGGCTGACAAAGGCTACCACTCTGCAACGGCCGAAACAACGTTCATTAGGAACAATGTGCAGCAAAATTCAGAAACGATATATTAGTTTAAAAGAAAATGCAAAAGTCCAAAACAAAGGTATTTTTGATTAGGCTTTGTTAATGTATTTGCAGCATGTATGAAGTTGTTTCATTTGCAGCTAGCTGATATTAGCAGCCACGTTTTACAACCTCTCTTTCTGCAGGACTCAAGCAAGTTTTCAAGCAAGTCTCTGAGTTCCTGTCCAGAAACGATCTGTTTGACCCAAATCAGTCAGGCTTTAAGCGGGGCCACTCTACTGAAACTGCACCACTGTCAGTAACAGAATCGCTACGAGCTGCCAGAGCTGCGGGTCAGTCCTCAGTTCTATTACTGCTAGACCTGTCTGCTGCCTTTGACACAGTCAACCATCAAATCCTCCTATCCACGCTCTCTGAACTTGGCATCTCAGGATCTGCCCTCTGCTGGTTCGTGTCCTACCTCTCTGGGCTATTCTTTAGAGTGTCGTGGAAGGGAGAGGTGTCCAAAGCGCACATCTTATCCACAGGGTACCTCAAGGGTCAGTGTTTGGTCCCCTTCTTTTCTCCATATACACACGCTCACTTGGTTCAATAATCTGCTCTCATGGCTTCTCATACCACTGCTATGCTGACGATACCCAGCTCTTCCTGTCATTCCCACCAGACGAGTTACAGTCTCTACAAGAATCTCATCATGCCTTGCTGATATCTCTAAATGGATGAATGAACGGCACCTTCAACTCAATCTTTCAAAGACTGAGCTCCTTGTCATCCCAGCCAGTCCCTCTATGCAACCACTGATCAATATCCAGCTTGGAACAACCAAACTCATGCCCACAAAGTCTGCCCGGAACCTGGGTTTCATGATTGATGACCAGCTAACTTTTAAGGTTCAAGTAGCCTCGATTGCCGGGTCATGTCGATTTGCCCTGTACAACATCAGGAAGATCAGACCTTACCTGTCAGAACACGCTACACAGCTCCTGGTACAGGCTCTTGTGATATCACGCATCGATTATTGCAACTCTCTACTGGCAGGTCTTCCTACATGAACTATCAAACCTCTGCAAATGATACAAAATGCAGCAGCACGACTGGTCTTCATCTCCTTACACTGGCTCCCAGTTACTGCTTGCATGAAATTTAAAACTCTGCTGCTCGCTTACAAAACAGCGACAAAAACTTTAACTCTCTAATCCAGGTCTACACTCCCTCGCCCACTACGCTCTGCCAATGAAAGGCGTCTGATCCAACCTTCACAACAGGGTCCTAAGTTTCTGACTAGACTCTTCTCCTCTGTTGCACCCCGGTGGTGGAATGAACTTCCAAACTCCATTGGATCTGCAGAGTCCCTCTGCACCTTTAAGAAAAAGCTAAAGACCCAGCTCTTTCATGAATACCTACTAACTTAATGATGATGGTCTCCATATTATTGATAATGATGATGGTAATGACGATGGTTTTTGTTGGATAACGATGACTTATAAGATGGTTTCTATACTGATTAGAGCTCTCAAAAACTGCACTCAATGTTGTGCCTCTGGTCACTTCCTGTCAGCACCTGTGTGTCCAATCGGACTCAAAGCTGATCGTTTGCTCTTACTGACATTGTTCCCTTTTTCTAGATCCTTGCTTGTGTTGTACTCTGATGTACGTCGCTTTGGATAAAAGCGTCTGCTAAGTGAATTGTAGAATTGTAGAATATAGGACTCAGGACTGTAGATTAACATCTTGGTTACTTTTTACCAAGAAACAAAGGAACTGATCAATGATTTAAGTCTCCCTCTGAGACAGGCTTTGGAGGACAGGATATTATAAACTTTTACAACCAAGCGGAAACAGAACAGCCTGCTATCTACGAATTGACCCCAAGGACATGAACTGTGACCGAAACCAGTCTCTGCAAAAAAAATCTTTCTGGCTCAAGCAAGGCCCCTTTTACTTTCTTTTCCAAAGTCTTGGCTCTACAATTTTGAAAGCCAATTTCTTAATTTAGTTTCATCGAGATGGCCATCAGGTTAATTTAAATTGGAAATCGACGCATCAAAAGACTCTTTAATATTTTTCCTGTTGGATCCACTTGGAGCTGATGACGACACAACCACTGAACTGCCATTCCACCTCCATCCTAGCTGCACACTCCGACCCAGCTGCTTCAGCATCTAATCTGGCCCAAAGGACCTCTC